GTCTGATTTCTCACTGCATATTTATTTAGAAACTATCATTCTTCAACTGCGTTCATACTTCCAACAAACATTAACCGAATGGAGAATTCGAGGATTTTCCCATACGCTGTGAGTGTTGCCAATTATTGAAAGCTTGGTAATTTTCAACCAATAAAGTGTGATAGGTTCTAAATTAACAGAAAACTTTAATATCAATTCATAGGCATTAATCTTTAACGGAAACTTCCTTAATCATTTTGAATTCTGTACTCATCGCATCTCTAGGCCGGACTGTCTGACTGACTGTCTGACATATATTTGTTTTTTATCATTACCAAATCCGGAGTTTTAAGTAGGGATCTGGGTTCTCTGGCGAGACTAATACCTAGAGAGATCTTCCAAAAAATCGAAGGAATGACAATAGTCACCAAAATTCTTTTTATTGACACCATTGTTACCTTTTACGTTTACGTTTCGGTACATCTTTTACTTCTCGGGCATAAGCTTGCAGTATGGACGAAATCATTCAGGAGGAAAACGACATACTACAGTGTGGACTTTTGAGAGCTAACGACTATAGGCACATTCAATCGGGATTAATAGTTAGCGTAGGAATGCATGATAAATATTTTTGTCACCGATCCGGTGGCTGTGATCAACACACGATCGCAGACCAAATGTGCTTACCATTACGCCATGCCCACCGAGCTCCACATTTACAGCTACTACAATAAACAAAACGTTTCCCACGTTTCGCCAAATTGAATATTTAACCAAAAAGAAGCAACTCACCAACATCCTTATCACGAAATTAAAGAAACAAACAAGGCCGCGAACACAACCGACAAAATGTCGCATAATATTCGCCGGCCGGCGCGTGCGCACGATTACGCATAAACACGATTTTTACTACCGTCCGCTCGTAAAAGTCACGTAAATTGTGCCGTTTGTAGAGCTCACACACAGTATAACCGCTCAGATTATTTCGTACACGCCTTTGGGGCTAAACCTCCATATAAATTCGAAGTTTTATTACGGACCCACTCGCGCGCATCGTTATTATGCCGTTGGTTGGACGTTTATTGAACCATTATTGACTTGTTTAAAGTATCACCCGATTAATAGAGATAAAGGGGACCTCTGATAGTTTATGTTTTCATCGGGATTACTCCAGCGCCTAGATGTCTGGCCGGCGCGGTTTTATTACTGTAATTTACCTGTAAGTTATATGATTGATAAGTCGACGATTGCGGATTTATTTTTTACGATCTGTGGGGTAGATAAGTTGTTATGATTTCTCAAGTGCTTTTTTAATTATCTGATCTATCTGTTGAATGGCACTATTGAAAGTAGTAAAAATAAATATGAAATAGGTTGTAATGACAATAGTTTTCGTATTTTTTTTATGTCAAAAGGGTGGAAACCAAGCGTACGGCCCGCCCGATTGTAAGCGGTCATAGCTTATAAACGCCTTCGATACCAAAAATGTCACTTGTACCGTTACCTACCCTGACCCAATCTCTAACCCAGTGGAACCTTACTCACCGACAGAAACAACACCACCAAAAGTTGCTTTTATTTACCAATATAGATACATGTTATAAGACCAACATCTCCGAACACCTAAGAACATAGAAGCATTTACCTAAAACATGACTTGAGCCCACTGTCATCTATTTCCAAATCAGCTTAACTACCTGGCTATGTATGGCGATGATTCAATCAGTCTTATGTCCTGATGTTTACATACCCCACGCTGGAGTTCAGGGCATTCTTATGGAACTGACGGCCATTAACCACTACGTAGGTTCAGAGAGGATTGGTCGCTGGTAACTATTGCACATGTGAAAGAAACCAACTGTTTCAATTTTTCTTGGTTTTGGATTCTCTTGGCGATCCGAAGCACACATGAAGTTTGCCATGAAAATGTCTTCATTCTATGACGAGTCATTGTGAACTTCCACCATCACAAGTCGTACGCGCTGATCGTGACAGATTACCAGATTTTTCTATCTGCATATCTGATTTCCAGATTTTCCTATCTGCATCCTTAGATAGAAAAATCTGGTAGTCACCAGCAGCGGATCCAAAGAGACAGGCTAAGGAACATTAGTAATAGATAAATTTAACTAAACTAAAATACTACTTATTAAAAAGATAAATCTTTTTAATGCATTGACGTGACACAGTGGCGACGGAATCAAAGCTGATGATTTCGTTTAAGTGCAGTAATTTTTCCAATTTAGAATTTTTCAGTAGAAACCAATGGCTTAACGTACCTTCTGAAGTTCTGAAGTACGGAGGATCGCAAGATAATACTATGTATTTTTTTAAATACGTTTGCTATTAAAGCGTTAGGAAGGGGATGTATACATTGCTCGGAAGTTCAAAATTACACATCATACAACAGAGCGTGCGGTAAATTGTTCGGTATATGGCACCGTGTGTATGCTTTGATTTTTTATTTCCGATCGAAACTCTTTGGCAGCTCTTGTGATCTATACGTTTGTCTCACTTTAACACAAAAACAAAAATAAAGAGTCGAAAGATGTAGTTCTAATTTTCACCACGGAATTTTTGGCGGGATAGGGAAGCGTCACTTTAGCAGTTTTGCTTTTCTTGGTAAAAATTGTGTTGTGGCGGAGTTAGTGTCTAATAATGGTGGATTATTAACCACTAAGTGTTCGGGAACATGCACAAGTGTTGGCAAGTGAAATAAAATAGCGGAAAGTGTCTTTCGACGTTCCCTCAAGAAGTCCACGGGGAGGTTCCAGTAAATCCTCACACTTTTACTGAAACATAGGGAAAGGGGGGATTGACTTGACTGCCACTTACTTTGAGTTGATTTATTACTTTGACCACGAGTGCTGTAGTACCTATTTGTAAACATTTTAACACTTGACATTGGCTTAATGCACAAGCCGCGCGAAGCCATTTAGAAAAAATAAATCACCGCTAGGACGTTTTTTTAGTTTACTTCAATACTTAAATATTAAACTGTTTTCTCGCAAATGTATTGAAAAACCTTGTATGATATTCGTGCGGAATTGGTATTTAGAAACTCGTGACTATGGTAAACACTCGACTTCATCTCGGGCTTACATTCGTCTACTCATTGGTACTAGCCAACTTACTGCACTAATATCATAAATAACTATTTTTGGTTAAGAGCTCGTGTATACTTACTTAACAACAATTACCTAAATATTATACTTAGTGATCTTATAAGAATTGATTGCACTGCTACCAATAACTTGCTCATTACCTACCTCATAACGGTTAACGGGTGCATCAACAACTTGACGAAATCGATTTTCCTATTTAGTTACAAGAAATTAATTAGATAGAAATAGTGGAAAAAATCAGTCACATGGTGAACACGCACTGCCTAATTCCAAAACGCGGACTTAAGTTAGTCAGGCTTCAAACCTTCTCGTCTTCTTTTTTGGAATCAAAAGTGTCAGCATCAGTTTTAAACCAGGTTTAACATTAGGCGGGAGGACAGTATTCATATAAGTATTTATAAGTTTTCTTGAAAACTATTTTTTCTCTTAAGTTAGAAAAATCAGCTTCTTGTAACTTTAGTTTCTACATAGCATTATATAGGTATCAAGAAACAATTTTTAATGGCATAACTATAACTAAGGAATAACTTCACTAAGATGATATGCATGAGTCTTTTGATAAGTATATAACCATACTCACCAAAAAAGTCGAAACAACATGAACTTTTTTAAACTTTGACCGATTTTTATTACTTTTATTATTGTTATTCATAATAACCAATATGATGTATTATTATAGTCAATAATAAATCAAATTGGTTATTTGGTTATTGGTTGCTTCAGTAAGCAAGAAAGCGTTTAAAAAATTAGACATTTCATAACAATCATATACTATAATATCAATTGATAAAACTTGAAGTTTGTATAGGTAAATGATGCATGTTGCTTAGACTTTTATGAAATATGTAAATTAAAATCAAATGCAATTCGAGGATGACTCTACCGATTAGGCTGACTATCTTTTTTGGAAAATTCTGTAGAAAACCGAAATATTTTTCAAGTTTATCATTTTTTCATTTTTTAAACCAGTGCGAAACTCGTAACCCAAAATGGGTTTCGAGTAATTTATAAAAATGTAAAGCTTTTTTACAGAATCAGATTGTTATTGCAACTAACTGTGTAACAATTAAGACGTTAAGTGGATCAACAGTTCACCTAAGTCAGGCATGCAATTTAGGAACATAGGATAAAAAAAATCTTATCCCAACATTTTTTTTTCATTAAAATAATCTTACCTCCTTTTTCTTTGCCTTCGTAGTTTTCAGGACAAAGTGTTCAGGAAAAAATTTGGAAACCAGGATATATTTTTGGGTACTACAATATCAAGGATTTTCTTTTTTATGATATGAATAAACCTGCTCGAACCCGGAGCGGGTGAAGAGTAATTAATAAATATGAAGAGTTCTACGTGTTTTTAATCATACTTTAGTTCGAATGTTATAATTTATATACATAATTGTCTTTTTTATGTACTTCAAATCATATTATATGCTTAATATATATCCTAGACTAGAAAGAAGTCTTCTGGTTATTAGATTGACTGTTTCGTTGTATTCGTAGGTTTCAGGACGAAATTCTTTTAGGAAAATTCTCTAGAAAATCGGAAAATTTTAAAACCAGGATGTCGTTTAGGAAATCAAATATCAACGATTCTATTTTTTTCTTTATTCCAAGAAACCTGTGTGATTCGGAGCGGGTCATGAGTTATCTATAAAATTTAGGGCTGTACAATTTCTTTAAATCAATCATACTTTTGTTCGAAAGCTAAAGTTTATATAAATAGTCTTTCTTGTATACTTCAAATCAAAGTATATTCTTAATAAGCATCCTAGACTCCAAGTCATCTGATAATTTGATTGTCTCTTTGTTGAGAAGGAATGGAGAATTTCCCAAAAAATAAAATTAATATTTTTTTTGGAAAATTCTCTAGAAAACAGGTACTTAAGTTTAAAAAAGTGGATGTCGTTTTCTAACTGATTATTCAAATAAATTTGTGGTGAAATGGAGCGAATCTTTAGTAAGTAATAAAAATGTAGAGCGCCTTTTTTCTTATTAGGTCTGTCAAGAAAATTTTGATAACAGGGGTTACTCTTTGATACTGTTACGATATTTATTTAATTGGATAAGTAATAACAGACACTCTCAATAGTTTATTTATGTAACTGGGAATGTGTACTTTATGGGCACATGTTGTTAAAGGTATTTGCAGGAAGACCACGATTTTGTTATTAACACGACGAATGCGCATTTTTCTGTTCGCCTGACCAATTAGAAGCGATTACATTTTTTGCCTGCTTCCACTTAATGACACCATCCTTACAAACTACTTACTTTTTCTCCTGGCGACGCAAACGCCATCTATTTGTGCTAATCACCTATACAACCTTCGAAAAAGGCTTTATCTAAGACGCGCAGGCATCTCCACGGTTTTAAATTGACCAATTATAAATTGTTCGCATTTAAAAACGAATATATTGAGGTGCATAACCTGTTCTTTTTAACGGCGAATATTTGTTTAAAGTGGTAACCGCAATAAAAATGCAAGCGTGTCTCTTGGTAGAGCGGCCTACCAGAGGCCATTCATTCGTTTGATGACTTCATTTGAACGCGCCAACTGAGCTCTTGCGATAATGCGCTATTGTTTACCCTCCGATAGTGCGCCTTCCACTGCACGCGCCACACTGCGCTAAATAAAGACAACGATATATCCCACCGCACCGTCTGTTCAATGACACTTCGACAAAACGTGCCCCGTCTTGCTCGCACGTCCGCTTCTGGCATAAGCGAGAGCGCGACGACGACACCACTCGTAAAAACAGGTAGTAGAAGAAATAATAATCATCTTTACGACTTCTCACTCTATTCAGCACCTTGTTACGATATTGCGCGCTCATTGTGGACCGACCGAGGAGTGGTTGTAAAATCTTTTCTTTACTCGCCCGTTTTACTAATTGTACGTTTATGAGTTTACGACTTTTGCGGCTTAACTTTTCAGTAGTAAAGTGATCATTGGCCTTTTGTCGACCCTTTTTTGCTCGTAGAGCGCAATTAAAATCGGGTAAAGTAAAATGGTTTACTAAAATTGGTAACTGAATTTCTTCACTACTTTTGTATGTTATTATTTTAATCGACTGCTTAATGATGTTTACATATTAGCCGATAGTGAAGTTCTAGCGGTCGGGGTTACATTGTAATAGACTGACCACGTGCTTCAGGAGCTGTGATAAGAGAGGCAAAAGAGAGCGTGACTGATAATATTTATAGTCATTAGCGAAAAGGGGACGGAACAATCGGTCGGTGTGCGATCGTAGCAGCGCGCGGGGCGGCGCGCGTGTCAGTTGTGAGTACTCAGTAGACAGCGTGAGTCGGGCCGCGCCGGTCGCACACAGTCCTCCCGTACCCGTGACATACAGCGCGGCAAACTTCGCACGCGCCGTACATCGCGACTAAACAAAAATCACCAGAGACGACCCGGCGCCCGAACGCTCTAAAAGTCGTAAACTCGCACCCGACTCGTAAAATAATCGTAAAAAGTAAACACACGTCGACTGGCCTTTATCGCCGGCGAAGCCCATTATGATGCTCGAGTGACGTTTAAGAGGCAATAAAATTAATAAAATTATATTTAAATCGTCTGGTTCGGTGTGACATTGGCTGAGGTCGCGTTATCATCGCGCGTGGGGACGCAATGACATAAGTGCTTCTCAAAACTTGTGACGTTAGTGCCGGTGAGCGATCAGAATGAACTCCTACTTCGAGCAGGGTGGTTTCTACGGCGCCCATGGGGTGCACCAGGGCGGCGGTGGCGGTGATCAGTATCGTGGTTTCCCGCTGGGGTTGACATACGCTCAGCCTCACGCGCTGCACCAGCCGAGGCCGCAAGACTCGCCGTACGATGCGTCAGTAGCTGCTGCATGCAAACTGTACGCAGGGGAACAGCAGTACGGGAAGGCGGATTGTTCAAAGGCCGGTGGCGAGCAACAGAATGGTTATGGTGGGAAAGAATGGGGTTCCGGTCTCGGAGCACTGGTGAGGCCGGCAGCCTGCACGCCCGAAGCTCGATACAGCGAGTCGTCGAGCCCTGGAAGAGCTCTTCCCTGGGGAAACCAGTGCGCATTGCCGGGAGCAGCTGCAGCCGCCGCACAGCCAGTACAGCATCAACCCACCAACCACACATTCTATCCTTGGATGGCCATAGCAGGTCAGTAAAATTACACCTATTTGAATAAATTGTAGAGCTATGGAAATTCTTCTTTCAAATCTATTAAAGAAGCCGAAATTGCAAAAACTGTTAAGAACACTAAAAATACCCATTTATAGCCGTTAATGCCTTGTAAAAAGTTAAAGTAGTTATTTAGTAGTCATAAATAATTAAAAAAAAAATATTATTATCTAATCATAATGAGAAAAAGCACCAGCGCATAGCATTCTTTCAATAGCAAGCTCTAAAATGCCGCCTAATGTTATGATCCTACAAGAGCGTCCAATAAGAAAATCAGTAGCAGGTAACGACCGAACCGACCGTCCAACCGGTCGTGCCAATAAATCGCTCGTAAAACGACCGACACCCGTTAACATCTTATTAGAGCAGACAGATTTGAGTGTCGACATATAATTTATTGCAGATTTGAAATAACCGTAAAAGTACCTACATACTTAAAATAAATTAAATGGTAATTTTTCTAGGAACTATGATTTTGTAACATGCGACACAATATTTACACCTTTAAAATAAATTTTTATTAAGTAGCTTATGACTACGGAATTAAAAAGCACACTCTATTTTTAAATACATAAATGCTAGCGACATTCAAATCATTTTTATATGAAGAACAATACATATTAATAGAATTCGTCAAAAAATTGTTTACTCCTACAAATTACCAGTATTCATTTTTATTTCTTAGCAGCTAAAAGATGTCTGGTCTTACCGTCCAGGTAAGAAAATATATTGGACGTTTCAAAAGAGCTTTCAATAAGTCAATTTAAATAAAGTATAATTTCAATTCATTTCATAATGACCATGAGGGATTCTCAAAGCTCTGTTTTTATTTTTAACTGCTTTAAATGGTAAAATAAGATGAAAAAAGTCATATTTTCATTATTTTGTAAAAAAATATTTAAAAAAAATACTACGAATATCTGCGCTCGCGCTGTTTTGTTGTCCGACCCCGTCCACGACCGCCATGCCTTCACACGCATGCAGCATTTTAGCGCTCATCGTTGTGACGGGAGCTTGCGCCCGAGTCGGGTTCAATGGCCCGGTCTAGTTTGGGCGTATTATTATTAACTTGCCACTGGTGGTCACTGAGAAAATTATGGCCTCTTACTTTTGTTTGTTACTGAGATTTTTTTATTATAGTTAAATAAATTCCAAAAAGACAAACCATTTATAAATACAAAAAAATATAATAAGACATAAAGTAATAAAAATTCTAACAAGAATAAAAAAAATGATGTTTTAGTTAAAATAAATTATTCCAATTAGAAAGGTCCATTTTATTTGCTATCGAGTTCAATGGTTGAAAGTATTTTTAAAGTGCTTTTGAAATTAAAAAAACCACCAATGCCTGTTGCCCATACCTCTTCTTCTACACAAAATAATAATCCTTCTATTCCATCGCTAATGCGTAATTAACGCAACGCGTGTGGTCCCGCCTCTCATAATTCATGCAACTTGATAAAATTAAGTAACACAAGCTTTTGAAAATAAAACAAAAATATGTAGTCGCTCTGTCAGCCATATTTCACTCGGGGTTCACGCAACACGGCCCGCGAAACAATACAAGGACGCGATGGCCGTAGCCTGTTAAAGAGTTCGGGCTTGACCGCTCACGCTGCGGCTGCGGTGATTCGACGAACGTGACTCATGTTGAGACTGGCTAAGCAACAAAAAAAAAATTGGCCGCGCTGAAAAAAAATCGAAAAAAAGAACATTTTCTTTTTTTAGGATAGGTACTAAGGCTGCTCTATTCCATCCAAAGTTAAATTTTACTATAAGTACTTAAAATGCTGGAGAAAAATATTATTTTGTCTAAACTTTTTAAATTTACTGTGTATTTGGACGTAACATTAACATTATAGTCAACTTTAACTATGGACGAAATAGCGCGGCCTTAACGAAACTACCTATGTCTAAAAATTAAATGTTCGGACACTAACATATATTTAGTACCTAATTATCTTGATCCATTCGTATGAATCTAAATTTAACGAAATACATGCTTAATGTATAGTAACGAATATTGTAATAGAGTAATAATATGAAATAGATAAAGCATTACCAACATATTTTTGATTTTATAAAAAAACTTGACGTATGAATGCAAGTTAAAAATAATAAAAAAAATAAAAACGAATAAAGTGTAGCAAAATATCGGTTGCGCACAAACTGATTTGAATACTCCATGGCTTAATAACAGAGGCTACTTGCAAGTATTTTCAACTTAACCAGTCGCTAAACGCAGCAAAAGCATAGTAAACTCATGTCTTGTATTTTTGTAATAACCAATTCCCTAGTATTACTTGCTTGTTCTTATATTTTCTTTCATCAGCTATAATGATACAGTGTGGCTAAATTGAACAGATAATTTTATTTAAAATTATTGATCATATTATGTGCCTATGATGTGAATAATAATGTAAGAGTTTTATATAAATTGAAGGTACGATATACTTACCCTGCTAATATGATTTTTCAATGATTACTTAAATCACAATAAGAAGATTTCAAATTATATTTCCTCCTAAAATGTGCCAACCCTAACTACGAAAAAACCGGTCAGAGATGTGTGTCTGGATAGATGAAATGTTTGAATGAAAAGAATGAAAATATGTATACTTTTTTTACTTTTCCTTAATCTTACGTCTACTGCCTGCGTAATGTTTTTATGTCATAATACATGCTAAAAAAACTTGAGTCTTATGCTTTTTGACAAGTTCATCTTGCTAAGTCTATTTCTATCCAGTTCTTTTTTATTAAAGACTTAAGGGTAGATGCGAACTAACGCATTCGCATCTAGAACGCAACGCCTTCTAGTTATATAAATTAATAGTTCTGTTTCATTCTTAAGCAGAACATCTACACTGAAAAAAGTAATTTACAAAACGAATTGAGTTAACTGATAAATAGCCAAACTTTGTTTACTAATAAATAAATTTCAGTCACTCATAGACCAACTGTTTTGTTGCATTTTACATTATCACTTCAGTCAATCGAGTTTAGGTAAAAACTACTAAACAATTTTGTTATAAGCTGCCAAATTCAATTTCGGTAATCTAACTTAATAATGTTTTTTTTGGCAACATACAGTCATGTACAGCAATGTATTGTTATAATCAAACACACTTGAGGTGAACATAGAGTTGGCCTAACTACAACTATTTTGTGCTATTTATTATTATAACTGAAAAATGATGTAACTGTTAGCCAAAGAGTTTGGTTACAGATTGCAAGTATGTATTGTAAAATGTTTGCATCCGCTGAATCGAGCTATAGATATTGTTTTGTCCAGTTATATAAGGTAAGTTTATAAAAAAAATATTTGGAAATAAATTAGGACCCAGGGTATTATGATTACTCCAATCCCCTGTTAACTCCCTGTAGTCCCAGTACTTACTTATCAGTACGTACAGGGTTTTGAAGAGTAGGTACTTTTGCAAAAAGATACATAATAATACACAGCTATAATGCATCGGAAAATTATGTTGCAGATAACAAAATAGTTCGGTTACAAATAACAGTATAGAGATGCTATACTGAAGCCAAATCATTTTTTAACCTATTATTGAAGTGTAAGATTTATCAAAATCATAGTTATTTTTAACAACAAAGTTTTGTAATTATAAAAACAAAACTATTTTAACAAAACTGAGTTTGTCTACTAATAGCTATAGTTATTTAATCACTATTTTTATATTATAGGTAACCATAATTTTTGATATAAGTGACCCAAAACTTTTTTCAGTGTAAGTTTTTTTTTGTTCCTATAATACAAAGTAAAACTTCAAGGAAAACCAGAAATTAAAACTTCTTGATTTTTTAAGCACACGTTTGAAACGTGTGCTTAAAAAATCGATAATATTATTTGACAATATTTTAACGTAATCATACCAGGTTACATATTTTTATCTATAGTATAGATACTTACGCATCAAGGTCTTCGTCTAACTTTAAAGGTACCAACCATGGTCAGCATGTTCTGGCCCTGTAATTTCTAAACCAGTTCCGAAATTGGCGACTTAATTTCGCTTGAGGGCTGGAGCGTTTTAAATGGGACCTTATCAGAGGAAATGAGATATGTAGTAATCACCACCTAGTTGGTAACTTGCAAAAGGTATGATGAAAACCTTTTAACGCGCCATGTGTTGTAATAAGTAACAGTTTCTAGTGTAACATTTTAAGTTAGGTGCTAAGACAACAATAAAACAGACATTTCTTAACGCACAAAAGCACGAAAAACATTGAAATTCTCATACTCAAGAGCAAAGAAAATGGATCAGTAAAACTGTTTTTATATTTGTTTTCACGTATATCACTCATTAAATAAAACAAGTTTCAACGGGGTAGATGCACTGATTTTATTGATTTATTGACGTTTCACAGCCTTTGCAGGAATGATACTCTAATGATAATGATATGAGGATATTCTGACGATGCATTCCTGCAAAGACTGCGAAACGTCAATAAATCAATAAAATCAGTGCACCTAACCCGTTGAAACTCGTTTTGTTTGTCTTTATATTTTTTGTAATCTGTGATGTGAAATTTAATTTTAATAGTTGGAATACTTATATATTCTAAATTAACATTCACATGGATAATCAATTAAGTAAAGTTATGTGTGTGAAAATATCTAAAACCTTAATTAATAAATACTAATAAAAAAACTTCTTCCGAACTAACTTTGGTGAACTGTGATTGTTTTGCCTTGTATTTGTATTTTATTCGTGTTATTTATGTTACTGTTGTGCAATAAAGTATTATTATCTTATCTTATCTTTGGTATAATTAGACATAAAAGCTTTATTTTTATTTCCGATTTCCACTAGTTAAAATAAATATATAATAAATCCACTCAAAATCAATTGTTACCATTGTTCAAGTCACTTGGACTAACCACATTATTGATATTCCAGTGAGTCTGTTGCCGCGTGGGCAACAGTTTCACATCAGCGACAGAACAACCTGCCGTTAAAAAT